GCTAAAAGCTTCATTGGCCCAAAAAAATTTACTTTTCACAAAAAAAAAAACAAAAAAACCCCCACCAAATTTCACTGTTTTTTGATCCTGACACAAAATGACCAGCAAACATTAATTGACTAATCATATCAGCAGCTCATGCGAAAGTGTGAATGAGTGCTAGTCAGGTAAAATCATTATCATACTAATTAGATTGTAAGAGCAGACTGATTGCTATAAAAGGAGGGAAGAAGCACTTCCAATCATTGTGTTCTTGTTAGCAATGGCTACCTCCAAAAGAACACATGCAGCCATCATCGCTTTGCATCAAAATGGACTCACATGCAAGGAAATTGCTACAAAGAATATTGCACCTGAAAGAACCATTTACCGGATCATCAAGAACTTCAAGGAGAGAGGCTCGACTGCAGTGAAGAAGTCTTCAGGACATCCCAGAGTGTCCAGCAAGCGCCAAGACGGTCTCCTCCTGAGGAGTCAGCTACGGAATCGTGTCACCAGCAGTGCAGAGCTTGTGTGAGAGCATCTGCACGCACAGTCAGGCCAAGACTTTTGGACAACGGCCTGGTGTCAAGAAGGGCCAGGCAACTCCCCGGATCTCAATCCCATATAGAACCTGTGGTCACTGGTCAGTCCTCAAAAGGCGAGTGGACAAGGAGAAGCCCACGAATTGTGATCAACTCTGAGAACTAATAAGGCAAGAATGGATCGCCATCAGTCAGGATTTGGCCCAGAAGCTAATATCCAGCATGCCAGAGCAAATTGTAGAGGTTATGAAGAACAAGGGTCAACACTGTAATTATTGACTCATTATATTTTTTTGCAAATAAAAGCCTTTAAAACTTATGATATGCTTATCATTGCTTTTCAGTATACCATAGAAACATGTGGAAAAATAATATACAAATACTGAACCAGCAAACTTTGCAAAACACAAAATTTATTTTGGCCATGACTATATATGTATATATACAGTATATATATACACACACACACACACACACACACACACAGAGACACACACACACACATTTATAAATGTTTATTTTTCAAGGTCATAAGTCTTTTAAAATATCAGATCTTTTTACTTTTATGGCAAACCAGGCTACTCAAAAAAAAAAAAAAAAAAGTTGGGTTCTTCAGCGGTTCTTTGGGGCAGTTGAGGTGCTATATAGCATCACTGCCATACCTGTATTAAGCCCCTGTATAGTTCTTTAAAGCTTCTCTAACTCTCTCTTAGTTTCTTAGTTTAGTTGGGGAAAGGATTAAAAGCAACATTAGAATACAGTGTATTTCCTGAAGATAACGTGGTTCTCAACCTTTTTTCCCCCAAGGTCCCCCATAAAGAAATATTCCAGGGCCCCCACACAAGACTTTTTGACCTCGGAAAAGCATAAAAGTGATTCAAAACTGTTTTTGCCATTGTAGTAAATTCCCATACAGTGCAAACATATGACAGTGGAGTAACATATCTAAAATCTAAGGAGGAGAATGGGGTTCCTCTTATGGTTCTACATAGCACCATTTGACAAAGGTACTGTATAGCACCTTAAAAGATAGGTGCTATATAGCACTTAAAGTGGTTTCCCTATGATTACGAACCAATGAACCACTTTTAGTGCTATTTAGCACCATTTTCTAGAGTGTAGGTTAAGTTATAAAATGTCATTTGGTGCAACTTACTTTCATCTTTAAAAATATATATTTTAAAACTTTGAAAATAAAGATTATGTGTACGCTGACATATGTTCAAGGTGTAAGTATTATTCAATTGACGGTTACTCCACATGACATTTTTATAAAGTCATTACAAAAAGGTATTCTTAAATGGTATCAAGTTTTAAATGGTATCAAACCAACATGAATACAAAAAGTATATTTTTAAGAACTTGGTACATGTATTTTAAACTAAATAGTTTTTCCTTATTTGTCATTGACCCATTCAATTTGTACAGGGCTTAGAAATTAAAATTGCCAGCCAATAACACTTAGCGTATTTTTTACGTCATTTTGTTTCATATCATCTCATTTATATGGTTCATTATGATATAACACAAACTGAATAGAGAGATTGCTCAAGCTCAACAAATATGAGACATAGCAAATAGAAAATATTGGCCCAACAACTACTTTTGGCTTTACCGAACATACCATCATGTTTTCTGGAACCCTCACCGGTAACATCTGCTGGCGAATGGGTTTGAAGTCGTAGAAGACACACGGCAGATTCCTCGGCATGCGTGAGGTGACAGACCGATCTGTCCTCGGAGGGACCTTTCACTTACCCATTTACCCCGAACACACTTCTGCTCCATGCTCCTGATTCTCCCCTTGGTTGCCATTCGGCCTGCAGTGCCATTTCCAGTAATAGGGCTTCAAGCGTGATCAACTCCAAGCCTCCTCATCGGAGGGGCAAATGGACAAAACTTGTTTTGGCAAAAGGTGTTCATTCTCTCATCGGGGCACATTTTGCCTTGTTTTCCCTCCCTCCATCTCACTCCTTTTCCTCCGTGACCCGGTGTGCGGCGGTGCTCTGCACTTGGCTGCTCGTGGCAGGCCAGTTGGTACTTGAGCAAGGCAGTATCATCCCACCAGCAGCCCTCCTAACAGCCCCCCAGCTGGGAGAGAGCAGAGCCCTCATAAAAGTAGCAGAAAGATGTATTAAAGGTAGTAAATATACACATTCAGCTCGGTGAGCTGTGAAAGTTGTGAATTGGTTTTTAAAGCTTTGTTAAGACCAGAAAGCACAGATGTTAAAAACAGGTTCAGATGTAGCGACAGATGGTATTTGATTATGAAGCAGACTGTTCGTGTAATGCAAGGATGCTGCTTCAGCCCAACTGCAAGGAGCCTGTCGGCTCCAAGCTGAGGCGGGAAGCCCCAGAGGTTCTCAAAAAGAACGAAAAAGAACCCAGAAGAAAAGAGCCTGGCGCTTTTCACCGCGTCTTTCCGTGTCGTTTGGATTCAGCCATGAGGTCTGGATCCAAACCGATGCAGCTGCATCTGAAGTTGCATGTAATGACAGAAGGAATGATGAGGTCATTGTGTTCTTGATAAAGGGAAGGTCACACACGCCTGTTAGTGCTAGTTCTACATAACCAAAACAAAATGCACCGATCTGACAGAGGTCAGCCGGTACGCCACTTACATGAGCTTTAGGATGTCGGAACTAGAAAAAAAAACGCTTTATTCTTTCCAGTTTGAAAATAGGTTTTTCAAAATCTCACATGCGTACAACATTGCTACTAAAGTGATCAAAATTCGTTGTACCTCACGGACAGGCCTGCGAGAAAAATCCTTTATCCCACCTCCACTTTAATAATAACCAAATAATAACAGCGATCTTTCCTTTCTCTTTTCTGAGAGAGCATCATGGTAGCGACATTATTCTCGTGTTATCTCTTTAGGGAGGGGAGAGAAGAGGGGATGGTGGTAAAATTTTCAACAATGAATGGGCCAACACAAACACAGCTGTTTTATTGTTGTGCTGTTAAGATGTGCTTTTCAAAGGCGTGATGATGAAATCAAACAGAAGGGGAGCGGCGAGCGGCTCTGCTCGTCATTATGGCGTGGAGGGTGGCAGTGGAGGGGGAGCTGACCCCACCTCCTGTTCAGTGGAGCTGCTGGAGCGGTCCGGGCCCACTAAAGTGCCTCTTTGTATGAGACTATAAATTACAGCAGCGGCCGACCCGCTTCCCTCCACAACGCCGCACGAGCCACAATAGCACGAGCGCTGCCCTTTTCTCCCCACGCACACCTTTTTCCGCCCTTTTTCTTTGCAATTAAGATTGAATGTTGATGTGTGTCTTTGAAGCACTTTATTTATTTATTATCTCTGTTTCAGATTGTTAAAATTAATCTGGTTGAAATGACACGTTCTAGTGTTTTGTCAAAGACAACTTCATCAGGAAACGACGACAGGCCTGAATTAGATTTAAATAGGAAAAAAAAGACTATCTATCTATCTATCTATCTATCTATCTATATCTGATGTTGTCATGGCAATAATGTAAAAATTTGATATAACAAACACAGAAAAGGTTATGTTAACACATACTGTTAATGTGTGGTTGTACTTTTGAAACAGAATTGTATTACTGGCTGTACTATTTAACACTATTTCTATGTTATTCACTTCCATTGTAATCCAGATTTTCCTTTTTTTAAAGAAATAATTTTTTTCTGGTATTCAACAAGTTCTGCCAAATGAACTTAACTTGAACTCAAAATATTCAAAGCCCATAAAGCCCAAAACAGGGCTATATAAAGGCCTGTAAGAATATCTTCACATTTACATGCTGTCAGTTCTTCTGGCATCACAGGCAGCTCCAAATCTCCTTGGTTTTTCTCTGATTAACATGCTGATCTAAATGATGACAAATGGCAAAAGGAAACACCTGATCTAGGACTTAGTTTTTATTTTGCACAAGCTTGCATATATACTGCACATACATTCAGTTCCGAGGAGATGGAAGGCACACGAGGCACTTTGACTACTGTATTGTGTAGGTGGTAAAAGCAAAGGTAAAAGTCTGATTAAGTGAGGAAAAAAAATAGGAAAAAAAAGACTATCTATCTATCTATCTATATCTGATGTTGTCATGGCAATAATGTAAAAATTTGATATAACAAACACAGAAAAGGTTATGTTAACACATACTGTTAATGTGTGGTTGTACTTTTGAAACAGAATTGTATTACTGGCTGTACTATTTAACACTATTTCTATGTTATTCACTTCCATTGTAATCCAGATTTTCCTTTTTTTAAAGAAATAATTTTTTTCTGGTATTCAACAAGTTCTGCCAAATGAACTTAACTTGAACTCAAAATATTCAAAGCCCATAAAGCCCAAAACAGGGCTATATAAAGGCCTGTAAGAATATCTTCACATTTACATGCTGTCAGTTCTTCTGGCATCACAGGCAGCTCCAAATCTCCTTGGTTTTTCTCTGATTAACATGCTGATCTAAATGATGACAAATGGCAAAAGGAAACACCTGATCTAGGACTTAGTTTTTATTTTGCACAAGCTTGCATATATACTGCACATACATTCAGTTCCGAGGAGATGGAAGGCACACGAGGCACTTTGACTACTGTATTGTGTAGGTGGTAAAAGCAAAGGTAAAAGTCTGATTAAGTGTTTAGAAATAAAACTTCAGAACACACAATTTTTCACCTTCCAAACAAGATAGAAGTTTTGTTGTACATTTTTTCTCTTTTTCTTTCCTTTTGTTTTTTTTTTCAAGCCTATCTTATGACTACAGTGTCTGAAATTACAGTGGCTACCTGGACACAAGTGTCTGTTTATGTCTCTACAGAGTTAAGGAGCTTAGGAGGGCGTTTATATTGTCTCTATCTACCAAATAATATTACAATACATCCCCAGAAATATCAAAAATTGTACACCATCACCAAATAAATTATGATAAATTAAACCAATAAATTATGAAACTTCTGCATGACAAATTGACAACAAAATCCACAATGCTATCCCGTTAACAATGCATGTGTATCCTTCAAACGTATCAAAGGAAACTGTAACAGTTTCAGTTGGAATTACCATACTAGAATCAAAGAATTCTTTCATACAAAAAAAGCATAACAATGCTATTTACATCATATTGCTAAATCATAGAAAGGCAGTGTTTTCTCATTTTCGGTTTGTATTTACATACGTCAAAGCCTGTGAAATCATGTTTAAAACCCTTCAGGGAGCACACACCTCATAAATACAGCATCAAATCTACAAAGAGTCAGGAGTCTGGTACAACACATTGCATTCAGTACAAATAATTGTTCCCCTTCCCAGAAATATAATCATATACAAAGTTTCTTTCTTCCTTTTCTCTTTGTAACATCTTTCTTTGTAATAAAAAAACAGTCCCAAACTGAGTTTGGCAATTGATTTGTACAGATCACTACATGAGTTTATTTCCCCCCATTGCATGAAAACAAATAAAAAAATTCTTATGTCAAATGTAAATGCACAATAGTGTATCACAAGTGAGATGAATGTGTACATCATATCCAAACTTTGAATCAAGGTTATTCAGAGTTTTTTTTGTTTTTGTTTTTGTTTTGTTTTTCTATAGAGTGTCCTTAATGGAGTGCGAAATGTACACGGCTACATTTAGGATTTTCACAAAGCAACAAATGACCCTGTGTAACCACGCAAACAGATCCATCTCATATCAATACCAAATTAATGCAGAGCAATCGAGAACACCTTTGACGGGCAAACCTGAAGAGGTGGTGAGATGAAGGGGAGAAAACAGTCAACTGAGAGCCACTCGAAACATTTAAAACATCATAACATTTCTAAAAGTACTGTAGCAAGAAAAAAAATTGCGATGTTGAACATAACCTCCCTCTGGTTTGTCTTAAAGATACAGTGATAAATACAAATAAAAGTTCAAAAAGAGAAACAATAGATAAAAGAAAATAAACAGAAGTCCTTATGGGAACTAAAACTAATGTACTAACATGCGTGTATTTCACACACTCCCTGCAAACACGCACATGCACAGGTAAGCACGCACACACACTTATGCACATGTATTGCCTCTGTGCTACGTTAAATGGCTTAAAGTACATCAGATTCATGTGGAACAAAGCGCCATACTTGTTCTTCAAATGGGCTGTAAAAATTAGTTTTCTTGGACTTTGCAGAACCTTTTAATGAGGGCATTTTGTTTCAAAACAAGGAAAATATAACCCTCCATTTCAATTTGTGCTATTTTGTTCTATATTTTTAGATCACTTTCAGGATTTAGAAGTCAAATCATATTATTTCTGTTACATTTTATGTTATATAAATATATAAAAAAAAAGAAAAATAATTTGCTGGTGTAATTAACATTAGGCACAGGCAATTATCAGATTCATTAAATGTGTAAAATACACAATGCCTGTTTAGCTGAATATGAACAGCTGAATTCGACTAAGCACCGCTTTTTGCGCAAATTGAAATTTTTCAATGACACAACCTTCACCTTCACAATGACACAAAGCATCACTTTTAAATATATCAATATTGATAACAGAATTTCTTACAATTTGAAAATCTTTATTTATCACAATGCATGTAAAGGAGAACGCATGTCAGCACAGCCTTGCAAGAGACCTGAGAAAAGAACAGGGCCAAGCATCTCCCTTTTTAACTCCTAACTTTGTTCTGGGTTTGTTTTTCCTTCTCTTTACAATGCATAGTGAATAGCTTGGTGTTTTGTGCGTTGTCCGGGGGCTGTGGATGATGCCAGCCCTGGCGACAGAATGACAGCACCTCATGCTCTTTTGTGCCCATTAATCTAGAAGTCAGCAGGTTTTTTAAGGCATTGTGCTGACAATAATTGCCGGCCTGCGTTTCAATTCATCAGCTGGATTTGCCCAATGCAAACGGCACAGGCTTCCAGAGCAGATCACATGTCCAGCCCTTGCCCTCTATTGACGACTCTTATTTATGAACTAGGAAGGGATGCACAAAGAGTCTGAAGGCCCTATTTTCTTTTGTGGACACTGTTTTGATAAGAAACTGTGCTTTTTCTTCTCTAGGGTAGGCTAATCATTGTAATTGGTTACATTTGCGTGGATCTCTTAGTAGGCTTAGCTTCTAAAATTCAATCAAAGAACTTCAAATGATTCATAAAAATGTACAATTGAACTCAAACAAAGTCTCTGGCTAAGATGAAGTCTCACTACTGATAAACTGTACACTGCCATAGCATAATCAGATGATTGTGAATATTAAGCAAATCTGTACATTTCTAACAAATAAACTATGTGCAATCCTGTACGTAGAAAGAAGAAAAAAAAAGATTTTCTTTTGCTAATGTTCAAATAATTATTCTCAGCCAAAATCTACTGTGTAAACCAAACTTGAGAATCTAGCAAATTTACGGTCCAATTATAGAGGTGCTCCCAGCTAGCAGGTGGAGAAAATCAACAGCAACAATTCTCTTGTCTTGACATTGTACGGCATGTGTTTGTGTTTGTGAATTAGCGTGTATGCATGAGAGAGGTGTGTGTGTGTTTATGTGAGCAGTTGTGACAGTGTGCTTTTTATGAGCAAGAATGGTTTCTCAGTGGGAAGGCGTCCATTTTTTTTGTGCCGAACTGGCTTGCCCCAGGATAAAATGGCCATGTTGCTTAGTTACAAGAGAGGCTGCTCCGTGAAGGAAAAAAAAAAAACCTACGAGTAGGCCTCCCTCCCTAGAGCCAGTGCTATCAATGTGGACACAAAACACAAGAACATTGGACCCTAGCCAACATAGAAGAATGGCTAAACCAAAAAACAGTTAATACTGTTTCTTTTAAGAATAACATCAAATATATATATTATATTATATATATATGAATTTCCCACATAGAAAATGTATACCCCTCTTTATTTGTATTATTTTTTGTCCAAAGAATAATTTATTTTCTGTAGCATTGCCATGAGAAACAAGAATACCACATGTCAATTTTTTGTCTTTCTTTTCCTTTCTTCCTTTTTTGCAGCAAGCATTAATAACATTAATGGTAATAATTATATTAATCATAAATAATAATTACATCTATACAAGCTACAAATGCAAGTCTTATTCAGCAATAGTAAAACCATCACACATTGCAAACATCCGGGGATAAAACAAAGCCCTCAACAAAAATGACCAATAAAAGAGAGAAAATAAGGGTGTCAGTTCCATTTGTTAACCATTGCGTGGTAAACATAGTAATGCCCGTTTTAAAGGCAAGGAAAAAGGGGGTAAGGATTGAATACAATCAAAACAATCAAGAATTTTATAGACTTTCCCAAAAAGAAGCACACAAAAAAAAAAACAGCTAAGTCATTCAAAAGTAGCCGGGACTTAAAAACAGGAATGCTACCTCTTACTTTGTAAAGATTCAGGAAAAGAAGGGATGATACTCTGTAAGCAATTAAAATCACTACTCATGCAGAAGCTCCTGCAGACAATTGGGAGATTTAAAAATCTCTGGGACCTCACTGTCCAGCTTGCAGATGACCTTGTATATGGCCTTCTTCCAGGAAGGATCAACATCTTTGCCTGCCACAATGGCATTGAAAAACTCCCGTAACGTGATCTGTGCCACTTCCAGGAATCGCTCCGGAACCTGCTGATACACAAGGAGACAATGACATTAATAAACATATTAGGTTTCAATCCCAAGTCTCTGATTAAGAAAAGAAAAGCAAAAGAAAAAAGAAAAAGAGATAAGTAAAAAGGAACAAGAAAATATAATTCTGCACTGAGACCTTCAAGAGCCGAAAGACCCTTCTGGCAGAAACTGCGGAGAGAAGTGTTGGGCTGCCAAGTCTGAGAGGACATAGAGAACGGTCCCAAACATCGTCACTACACTAATTCCTCTTTGTTTTAGTTGCTGAAACACATTCTGGTGGTGCTGACTTAAATACCCGTGTGTAGTCTTTCAAATCTTTTATATTAGCTATCTTTCCTTTTTGTCAAACTGCAGCATTAGGGGACGTGAAAGTACTTAATTACATTTGAAAGGTCACAGTGAAAAAAGCAACAAGACATTTTTTTTTATCGAAACAGGTCAAACCATCACATAACAACACCTTACAGTCAATGTTTTGAATGTGGCAGAATTTGTGAGGTTGTAACCAAGAGGAACTTATTGGGTTAAACATTACCTGAGCTGTTCCTCTTTTAGAGTCTACTTCCTAGAGGGAGCGAAACAATCTGTTGACTTCCCTTTATTTGACACAAGATTGTTAGCAATGTCTCATAAAATGTCTTTTTGTCTCAATATGCTTCCACTTCTAGAAGGGGAAGGAGAAGATTCTGCCACTGACAGCAGTCCATAAAATACTAAATTCTGCTTTGCTTCTTATCAAGTTCCAGTGAAACTAGATTCTGTAATGACCATGTAACAAGCCAAAGTTGTAGCCTCTATCACAGGTGGAGGAATTCAAGGAAAGTTATCAGTAAACTTGGTGCTCTTGGACAAGGTCTGGACCTCTAACTGCAGTGTTTTCCCAAGCAAAGCAATCAGGTAGCATGTAGGGCACTACTGAGGAGTTTGTTCTCTGCAACCAGAACACATCCTCTCTGGCGTGAGGTTGTTGTTCGTGAGAGAGGGCCAAGACCGGGGGCGTACTGTAGACTGGCCCTGTGATCTCTTTAGCACCAGTGACAGTCCCTCTCCGCTAACACTGTAGAGATGATTAGCCAGGCAAAGAACTAAGTCACCTCCCCTACAGCTAGACAAGACACTTCCCAGACATGGTGCTTACTGCCACACACACTCACAAACACCCACACGCTCGAACACAGATGGGGAAGCAGGCGCAGGCACACAGAAACAGACACAAAGGTTGCATATGAGGACAAAAAACATAGTGCTGTCATATTAAAAGTGTTACTACAGGCCACAGAGAAAGCGCTAGCATTTGAGGGATGCAGTAGGAATGCTTAAATTGATAAAAAAAAATTCGGACATTTATTCACCATCATGTTATTCCAAACCTGTACGATCTTCTTTGGAACTTAAAAGATGCGTTTACTTTTTCTCCATACCCCTGTTGGGTTAGGTATGTTTTGAAGCATGGTAGCTGGTTTAAGCTGGTCCTTAGTTGGTCATGAGCTGGTCCTGAGCAGGAGCTAGTAAACCAGCTCAAACCAGCTACCATGCTTCAAAACATACCTAACCAGCATATGCAGTTTTTTCAACAGGGACAATAGAAGTCAGTGCGGTCTAATGGTGTTTTGGACCCCATTGACTTTCATTGTATGGACAAAAACAGTTGAAACATTCTTCAAAATATCTTCTTTTGTGTTCCACTCTCTGTTTTTGGTTGAAGTATCCATTTAAGATGCTTTTAAGGGTGTGAAAAGAGCCAGAGCAGTTTTTCCTCCAACCACCCCGAATCAATGCACTCACAACAAAGCTCATGACACCATCTAATATTCATCCTCCACTGCAAGGTTAAAGTTGCAGTCCTATAGTTGGTTTTATCAATGCAGCCCTCCCCCATGGATCGGGATCAGCGCTTAGTTTGGCATCAGTACTATCAATCAGACTCTGACTGCTCCTCAAAGGCCCTGCCAGGTGAGCAGTTGTCTGGACAAAGAATCTCATCCATGCGACTCACACCATCCCCAGCTCCCTTTTTTCCATTAAGTGTGTTAAATATACTGTCATCAAAGGCATACCCTTGTCTGAAAGGCCTTGATCGGTGTGGAAGATGTTTTCACTCTGCTGCCACAATCATAAGTGCTTGACTTTTGGTTGTGATGCAGTATTAAATTATAGCATGGCTATAAATACTGAACTTATAATGGCAGTTAAACTAGATGGTATGATTCACCGGAGTGTAGTTGATGGCTTGATTGGGTTTATATGCTGTAACGTGCCCCAGCCTTTTATGATGTGTTCCGGTGTTAGGGAGTAAATAGCTAAAAGTAGCGACGTTGCTAACTGAATAGTGTAAAATAATATCATAGCTTTTCCAGTAACAATCTAGTGTTTTCAACAAGTAGCCCTATCTCAAATTGCATTGGGAAGTCTGATTCATTTTAGTGAATTTGTTCATTCTGGCAAATAATTTTAATGACCTGGTTAAAATGATTAATCGATCCATTTGAATCATTACTCAATTTTGTTCTTGGAATTGTCTCTTTCAAATAGCATTGTGATGGTTCATTTAGATAAATCATTTTGTTGATAATTAATTTTTGTGTTGTTTAGTTTTATATGTTTAGTGTAAATGTATGTGTATTAAAGATTGTTTTCAATAATAATTCATATATAATTTATTATATATTATCAATAAATTACATTATTTAGATATATCAACCTCTTATATAGCTTTAATGTAGCTACTTTTCCACCTTGTAGTGTAACGTACTATGTTTTCTTACAGGCAGCTTGACTGTAGTTGAACTGCTTTCAATTACAAGTAGCTTACAACAGTTTCAAAGTATCTCTTCAACACTGCTGTGTCTGAAGTCTGTCCGTCTCAAAAGGGTGACATTTTTGTACAGTGCTGTACAGTAATTTCTCCCCTCCTTCACTCTTTCTCCTGGGGCAAGATCATAGGAAGGGAGGGGGGAGAGAAGAGAAGAGGAGATTAAAAAAAAAAAATCCTGCCCAAGTGCTTTTGGCCAGAGCTCTGTCTCCTTCTACTTCTCCCTCCCCGAGGGGCACAGCCTTCAGGGGTCATTTGTTTGATTATGCTGACTGTCCCCAGCCTCGGCAGTACACAATAAAGGCCTGACATAGCAGCCTGCTTGCCTTCTGTGTCCTGCAGATACTCATCACGAGTGTCAGGACATACCAAGGTTAGTGGTCACTGGGACGGCGCTCATAGGCGAAGGGCTTGCCAAACGCACTTGGCTGATGAATGAATGTCACATGGAATGGAGGGGGTGAGAAAGAAAAAGAGAAGAGAGGTGGTGGTGGTGGTGGGGGGGATTACAAAGGTTATAGATAAACAACCTCCCCAACACCCCAACTCACAACATACCCTCTCCCCTATTTTTTTTTTCACGCTTTTATAAGTCTTCCACCCCCTCAGACAATGGCCAGCAGCTTTCTGGAAAAACAACAGAATAATTGCACACAGGAAGAAAGAAAAAAGTGATAAAGGTGCCTTTCTCAAATTTGTGTGGTCTCAGAAGGGAGTCTGTCTCTTTTGGATGCTACCATAGTCCCTTAAAGGCAAGTCAGTCTGCTCGGCAGCCATCTTGGTAATGCCTTTGGCTAGCTATATGGCTGAATTTTTTAAATCTGTTTGTCAAGACTACGTTTCAATAAAATATTTAGATCCAACAATAAAAAAGCTTAAATCAACCAAAAAAGCTACACATTATTTGATGTCCATGCAAATCCTACTGTACAAAAGGAAATACCTAAATTTAGTGCAGCATAATGGCATAGATTTTCCAGAAGCAAGCTAGAGTTTTCAACAAGTTGTGGTGTAGCTTGACACAATGCACTTTACAAGCATGTCTCTCTTGAAAATCATTAGGAAGTCTGAATCATTTTAGAGATTTAGTTCAATTGGATGATTAATTTGAATGAACTGGTTAAAATGATTCATTAATTATTTTAAATCATTGCTCTGTTTCGTTAATGGAAATGTTTCTAAGCAGTCTGATTCATTTTAGCAAGTTGGTTCATTTGGATGATTCATTTTAGTGAACTGGCTCAAAAAAATGATTAACTGATTTAGTTTAATCATCTCTCGGTTTCATTAAGCTACTTTTTTTTTAATGCACATGCAAGTCCTAAACTTGATTGGCTCTTTTAATTGAAATGCAGGACTCCCATTGATCCTCTTTAAAATGTCTCTGATACACCACTGTATGAAGCAGGTGTGCACACCTGTTTAGTGTTAATGTGAAGATTTTATAGCTAATAGATTTGTTTTTATCATTTGTGAGAGAGATATGTTCACATCAAATCTGATTACTTTGCGTAGCCACTGACGCTAATGTGGGGTAAAGCCCAGGAGTGCTGCATTGCTAAGAATATTCCTGTGAGGAATTTCTCCAACTCATTTTTTTTTTTTACCATATAAGGGCAGTAAAATGCTGACTAGGGAAGAAGACAATGTCAAGGAGAAAAGGGGATTGGTATTTTGGATCCTCTTGACTGCTTGCCTTGGAAAGAGAGAGAGAGAGAGAGACAGAGGAAAAGAGAGAGAGAGAGAGAGAGAGAGAGGGAGAGGGAGTGTTATTCTTGTCACAAACCCTTTTGTCTGCATCTGCTGACTGCTTGCCCATAGCCAGCAGCATGCTTTAACTGTTTTGTCACCTCCTCGCCTCACATGGATCAGCTGTTGTTCTTTTGTTACGGCTATTGTGTAGGCTAAGCCTCTAAGGCCGCTCTGCTGTGCAGTAAACACAGCTGAATCGCACGGCAGACAATTCCACATCAATATTTCATATGCCCTCTTTAGGACTCCTGATTCAGTCAAGTTGAGAGGAAAAATACGCCGGGCACGGTTTAAATGGCCCACAGAGCCCTCAGAGAAAATTAATACTAATAAAGAAAACACTACGTGTGTCAGTAGCCGCCGTGTTTTGTGCACGCTGTCACGCTGTGTTTCGCTTCTTGGCTGTAGATGATGTGAAAGTGTGAAAAGC